CAACATTGAAAAACAAAGAAGCGAACTGTATTCAGGAGGTTATAAAACCAATGTTTCAAAGACAGGGAGACGTGGTAGACCAAAGTACAACGTAAATGCTGAACACATCTTGTTTTTACTCGAGCAGGGTTTTAAAGTAGCAGAAATAAGTGGAATTTTAGGAGTCAGTTTGAGAACAGTCGAAAGAAGAATGTCGGAATTCGGTTTGAGAGTTTCAGGTAAGTACGTACAATTGCTTGCTTCTTTTTATTACCGTAAAATATTGCCGGCTTTTACGCAGACATTCTTATGTTCGTTATGTTGTCATGTTGCTTGACAAGGATGGCGGAGTATACATTTTGGCAGTGTTGACATATGACATAAATATTTTAATTGCCTGACGTCACATAAAATTAGATTAGATCAAACTCGAGGACTCATTTCTAGACATTTCCCCCCGAAAAGTGATTTTAGTGTTTGTTTTTTATTTATTTATTTATTTATTTATTTATTTATTTATTTATTTGTCATCAAAGGAACATTCAGTAAATTAAGTGATGAACAACTGGACAGTATAGTCATGCAAGCCCAAAGGGATAATCCCAATATTGGCATTAGAATGCTTAAAGGGCATCTCCAAAGCCTTGGTCATCGCATCCAGAGAGCTAGGATATGTTCATCACTTCGGAGAACCGATCCTACCAGAGTAATGCAGAGATGGCAAAAAACTATCAAAAGACGCCAATATAGAGTAAGAGCCCCTCTTTCTTTGTGGCATATAGATGGGAACCACAAATTGATTAGGTATGTACTGTATAGAATTTTAGRACAAAAATACATTATTTTCATTGCCTGTGTGTCTAAGCTCAAACGTCGAATTGCACATGAGCTGAACGTACACCGGAATAATAAGGCGGATGCCTATACACGCTTCACGAATTCCATGCTACTGCTGAAAAAAGTGGGCACACGGGTTGTAAGAAATTGCTATAATTCAGTATATTTGATTCGTAATCAACTTTATGGTACGCGTCCTTAAAAATTTACTGAAAATTTATCTGGGAAAATCTGGGAAAAAAAACACAAACAAATGCAATAAAGCAGGTTTTGAAACTAGTGTGCCCACTTTTTTATTCCTTGAGCATGCGCATGGAGCAGTTCGTGAGGTTATGCGTCTATTACGTTTGAATCCGGAGACAAAAAGTATGACTGGGATTAGGAACTTTATCCGAACGTTTGGAAAATACGAGTGTTTTAGTTTCCGGTAAAGTGCTTATATAATAAATTAGGATATAAAGACCTATCACATTGGAAAGTTTAACAATACACTCTATAGCTACAATGATCAATGTTATGAACTTAATGTCAATGTTTTTTTCCCCCGTTGCTTGATTCGCTCTTAGGTGGAGAATAGTAATACATGGGGGAATAGATGGATTTTCCAGAATTCCTGTTTACTTGCATGCTTCAAACAACAATAAAGCGGACACTGTTCTTATGCTTTTCGAGGAAGCAGTAAGTCACTATGGTCTACCATCCAGAGTACGATCAGACAAAGGTGGAGAAAACGTAGATGTTGCATCGTACATGCTGTCACATCCTCGACGTGGTCCAGGCAGAGGAAGCATGATAACAGGTATAAAAATGTGAAAACRCTCCCCCCRCTCCAAATGTAGATATTGAAATCAGTGAAAGCATGACGACATCACATAAAATGTTTGTTCTATTATCTTTTGTAGGAAAAAGCACCCACAATCAACGCATAGAGAGACTGTGGCGGGATCTCTTTCAAGGCTGCCTTCGCATCTTCTACGAACTTTTCTATGATATGGAAAGTAGTGGCGTTCTTTTGCCCGGGGACGAAATCCATCTCTGGTGCCTTCATTATGTGTTTCTACCGATAATCAATCGCCATYTGAGAAAATGGAAAGACACATGGGTCTATCATCCTCTCCGAACAGAACAAGGCAAAACCCCTATGCAGTTGTGGATAAGAGGCCTTCAGTATACTTGGGGAACACAGACTACAGAAAGTGAAGAGGCATTTCAGGTATCGGCTGTAGAGTATTACCTATGGTAATCAATTTATTTGATACTAAATGTCATTAGTAGCATGCAAATTAACTAACCGAAGCTATTGTTAATTTCAGCCGAGCGACTATGACAACTATGGTGTTGACTGGAGCGGACCAGTTTCCACACCAGAACCTGAAAGTGTTGAAGTGCCCGACACTACCTGTCCTTTATTGGAAAACGAAAAACATCTGTTAACAGATGTTTCAAACTTGACCATAACAGAAGCAATTGAAGCCTTTTGCACCAATGTTAGCACAATTTCACACATAATCAATCACCGCAATTAATTTTTCATGGCTCCACACGATGTGGACTGAACTGAAACAAACTGACTTAGAAGCCATATTTAGAAAACGCATATAGATAGTGAAGTTGTCTCTAAAGTCTCTTGGAAGAGTTTGGAGAATATTACTTGTATTAATGATGTCATTATTTTCCTTGGCGTATATTTCATTTCAACGCCTTGACACTGAAGTACTTCAGTTATCTAATTAATGCTAATTAAAAGAAAAACCTTTTGCACCGTATTTTAGTGCAGTGTTGAAGTAGCGTTTAAACTCGGTGAACTCTACGTACTTAGTTGGCACTGTAAGAGCCATGAAACACGTTTCTGCCATTGGTAATGTGCAGCTTCCGTCGAACTTCACCATTATAACACTAGGTTTCGTGGGCACTCTTGGGCCCCCTGTCCAGAAGCAACACAGGTCAACAAGTTTGGGTTGGCCTGAAAATAAAGTTTGCATAAGGTGTGAGGTCGTTTATTTGTCTTTTAAATAACAAACTTATGTGGGTGAAATTTGAAATAATAAATAAAAAATACAAATTCTCGTTTCCCTTTATTGCGCTTGATACCTTGTCTACCAGAATCCTTTTCGTAGTGCCTTTAGTTGGCCTAATTAACACCATTATCTTGCGACTCCTAAAGGAGTACAAGGAGTACAAACAGTTGAATAAGAAAAAGAATTCAAAGAGGATTCTGGTAGAAGTGGTAGCAAGACGTAACAAGAGGAGCAATGAATTGCTCGTATACACTCAGTCGAGTAGTTTCTTTTTTCTTTTCTTTTCTTTCTTTTCTTTCTTTCTTTTTTTTATTTTTATTTTGTGTGTGTTTTTTGAAAAGTAAAGCTTTTTCACTACTAGCGATATAAGCAGGCAAAATTTTTTTATATACTTGTGCTTGTGCGTTTGTTAGGACCACGTTAAATTTCTTTTATATTCTGTGTTCATCAATCAATCAGTCGATCACTTTTATAAGGTAAAGTCAGGGGGGATCCAGGAATTGAAGGAAGGGGGGCTCTAGAAGGGGGAGCGGAAAAAATTTGCCAAGTGCAAAACCTTCTATCTGCGTAGGCAAAGGGGGTGAGGCACTCTTCGCTACTTAGTTCTAACCTTCTGCAGAAGACTCCAATTCGTCAATGTAATTTAGAATAAACTGCTTAGCCCGAACATTTTCTTCACTTTGCTCCGTTTTCTCGAAAGAAATGGCCTCCTTCAATTCTTTTGCCGACACAATACGTTTATTCTCAGGCGGAAATAACACTTCCGAGATTGAAGGGAACTTTTTGAGGAATGTGTGGAGAGACACTTCATCCATCCCTGAAAAGAAATCATCATCATTATTCTCATCATCGTCAACAGCATGATCATTATCTATTATTGCTTTAATATATTATTACTTTCTTATACTTTCTTAT